TAAAAATTATTCACCGAAGTGGAGGTGGCTAGCAATCGATATACAACAAGTAATCGATCATATGATTTGATATCTTTTTCATAACTCTACAGGAAAATGATGGGTAAATGCACTTAGAGTTATGTGTTCAGTACAGAATTGACCTTGCAAAATTGCTAGCTTTTTTTAAGACGAGTGTCAGGCATTTCATACCAGTTCTCTTCTTTTAGAATAAACTCACTTTGACCAGTGTCAAAATAACGCAGTGAAATGTTAAAAAAAGCAACAGATGCGGATGAATAATGGAAATGCAAGAAATTATGGATACATTTTTACATGTCATGAACAATGTCTGCCATATTTTTCGATTCATACTTGTTTGAATTATACCTGTCCATCTATCTGGCTTTTTGACAGTCGAGTGTGGTTGAAAGCAACACAATTTCTCAATTATTTTCTTTATTATGTACTAGGTCAAGATATAATATATCAGCACTAGTACTCTTGATTTGCGGCTGTTTTTTAAGCTGCAATGTAACCATCTTAGTTACAATTTTTAACTTTGTTTTCGTGTGTTATGTAGTGCAATATTGTGGCGTCAATAGGAAGAGCTTTAACAATATAGGGATTCGTGAAAACCCAGTAGATGTCTCAACAGTTGAAGAATGCCAACTAGCTGCAGAAGACGTACCATGGACTGAAGAACTGCACCTTACTGTAAAGGAGCAGAACATTCTGTTGGGCAAAAGTTGGCTTCATGGCTCCATAATCAATGCGGCTATGGTTCGAAAAGCTTGTTGTTGGAGTGAAGTCGTTGGACTCGAGGACAAAAATGGTAGGGATCGCGGTTTTTCCCGCTCAGATAGTGGACAAGGTTTCATCCAAATCATAATGTTGGGGATAATCGTTAGCTGACTCTGTCAAACTTTTTATGGGCAAGACCATACACTATTGTTTATGACAATTTGCAAGCATTAAGTGTCAAAAGAATGGAAGGATGAGGTACCCTATCGTTGTCGATCAAGTAGCATAGCAAATTTCAAAGGATGGGAAGTCATTGACCATGTTTGTCGAGAATGTCCAGCAGCAGGATCGAAGTGAAGACTGTGGTCCATTTGCCATAGCTTATGCCGTTGTGTTTTCTTTGAATCAGGATCCAGTCCTGGTAGTGACCACAGAGTAGACAAACAGAACAAAACAAAGCTCTGTATCGTTGGACCAGCAAAGTGCATTGCATATGCCGCATACCAGATGATGGCAGAAACATGGAAGCTTGTTCGAAGTGCAAAAAGGAGTACCATAATTAATAATAATAATAATAATAATAATAATAAATGTTATTTAGCCAGGGTTATCTCTTCAGCATAAAATGCTGCTATGGCAAAAATAAATAAATAAATAAAATAAAAATATATATATCTATATAAAACTAGCCTAAATTACAGTAACTAAAAATACACTAAAAGTTAAAAATACAAGATTAAAAAGTTGTTTAAAAAAGCTAAAAAACAGCACTTAAAATGCATTTAAAAGCTGAACTAATGCAAAAACTTAACAAGTAACGAAAAAACTTTTGATCTATGTAATTCCAAAATACGAGTTTTAAAAATCACAACTGACTTAAAATCCTTCATTTCACTTGCAATATTATTAGAAAGTTTAGATCCATTAAAATAAAAAGACTTCCTTGCCGTCTCAGTTATTACTTTGGGGAGCAGCAAGTTGTGTCCACTTCCCCTCGTGTTGTGGACTGTTCTAAAAAACCTAAAAACAATCTTTAAAAAGATTGGAGGGGATCCCTTCAAGCATTTAAAAGTCAAATTAATAGTATGCATATCACGCCTCATAGACAAGGGAAGCCACTTGTCGGGTGATTGCCTAAAATGCGTGAAAAGGTTTTTCAAAGCCCTTTCTTGCGGAGGGTTCTGACACAAGTTTCTTAATGAGCAAATGGTATTAATTTTTACAGCGGAATTGTATTATTCCATCTTCCATCTGACAGTATTCTGAAGTTGCTCCAAGCAAATCAGGAACTGAAGAATCAAATGCCTTTCATTTCAAAACCAGAGGAAGAAATGTAGTAATATTGATTTCTGCATTACCAGGTAGTAGTCTTCAGCAAGTCTGTAGACTCTTGATTCCAAGATGAATTTTTGCAGTGCTGCTATTGCACCTGCGTCAGTGAGTTTTACTTTACTGCACCTATACCCAGGTTTTTTTTACATTTCGATTCAGGATCACAGTGGGTGTGATTGCTCTGAAATGAAAAGTATTCATGAAAGCATCAGTCTGAGAATATAGTGCAAAGCTATTACTACAACCAGACAAAACATGTCCTATCCCTTTTTTGTGTTATTTTATGCTAGAACGTTTTGAATGTAACAGACATGAAGCATTCATCTACAGTACTATTCAAACCTGGTAGTGATTTACTATAATCAAGAGCCTTCGCCTCAGATCACCTGGACTTGAGCAGTTCTTCATAGAGTAGTAGAAATGGCGCTTCACACTTGCCTCTGAAAATGTGATGATAAAGGTCTTATCATTTACAAACTAGAAATGATGTTTTAGGGGAAAGCAGCAATAACATTTAAGCCTATTATTTGCAGTTCTAAGAAAGCAAACATTAGGGACCTTAAGATTTGAGGACGGCGTCTTAAAATCCAACGTCGTGGCATACAGGGGCCTGGGGAGAGCGCGACGTTCTAGACGCGGGAACTTTGACTTAAGAAGTTCCGCGTAAACAACGAGACGTGAAACTTCTATTCATCTGAGAATTAAGCTGTTTTATATATCATGACGACTTTTAGGAACGCGCGAGACCTGCTTCTGTTGACCTTTTGCGAGGGTTCGATCACGGAAGACAATTTCTGTTGCTTTTACGACCTAAACACTTGAAAAAAATCCAGAATATCCGTACTGGGATTACAAGAAATTCTGCCTACAAGACAAAGACGAGGCTGAATGCAAGACAGAATTCCGCTTCCAAAAGAATGATATTCCTCTTCTGCTGAATGTCCTTGGATTGCCAGAAAAGATCACATGCAAACAGGGGACAGTTTGCAGAGGCACCGGCGTTATGTATGTTGCTAAAGCGACTTGCATACCCATGTCGATACAGCGATTTGATGAGCACTTTTCGGTAGACCGGTTCCTGAAATCTCAATGATAAGCAATCAAGTTGTTGATTTTATCTTTGAGCACCACAGTCACCGGATCACTGGTTGGAATCACACAGTTCTGAACGCCCATTCATTGCAGATCTATGCTGACGCTGTCTCGAACAGAGGAGCAGCGCTGGACAACTGTTTCGGCCGTAGATGGAACAGTTCGGCCAATTTGTCGACCAGACCTCAATCAAAGACTGGTATACAATGGCCATAAAAGGGTTCATGCCCTAAAATTTCAATCAGTTGTCACGCCAAATGGATTAGTTGCTAATCTTTACGGTCCTGTAGGTAAGTTTTCTTTTTAAGTATAGCTTTCACTTGCAAGTTTCTTTCTTACCTTGAGACTGCTTGAGAGGATAGTCCTCAGCTGAAAACCTTGGGAAAAAAATGGATTAAAAAAAAATTCAGGAGCTAATGAGTGATACCTCCTGAAAAATAGAATCACCTTTTTACACACCAACTGGACTAATGATCTGTTGTCTTCTCTTCCACTGTTGCTCTTTAAACTGCTGTAGCATTTGATCCACCATCAAGTGAACATCCTTGCATAATCACTAATCGCATGCCCCCATTTGATATTCTGTTTGTTTGCATGATATATAGAAAACTGTCTGTGTTTGTTCATTTCGTTATATGTTTTCTTTTTGTTACTTTTAATCTAAATATTTTTAATTATATCTGAATATATACACTGAACCCAAACCATACAAGTCACTGGCTTTGACCTTTAAATAAATAAACCTCTTTGGATAAATAGATTTTGGATGTTTAAGATAATTTTGGATGTTTAGTTTAAAACTTAACCAAGATCCAATAAAGCAAACACAATTAATGTGGAGTATTTGCCTTACTAAAGGGTGGAGTGCTACATCCAAAATTTAAAAATCTAAAAATCAGATAGCCTCTCTCCCAAGCTGAAACTTACATCCCATTATGTATGTAACACTCTCTTTACCATTAGAAAATCCTGTAATAATTTTTTTTTCAAATTTGACAAGAGGTTCATTGCACATCATGAATGTAGTATGAATGTTTTTGGGGTTTCTTTGTTCGTATTTTTCAGAGGGCAAAAAGCATGATGCAGGGATGCTGCGGGACTCTGGCCTCTACAATGATCTTCAACGCTATGCATTCTCACCAACAGGCCAGCCACTATGCATTTATGGGGATCCTGCTTATCCATTACGAATACACATTCAAGCACCATTTAGAAATGGAATCTTGACCCCCAGATGCAAAACTTTAATGCCGCAATGAGCACAGTCACGAACCTCAGTGGAATGGTTGTTTGGGGATGTGGTGAATTCTTTCTGTTTTCTTGACTTCAAGAAAAACTTAAAGATAGGCCTGAGTCAAATAGGAAAAATGTACATAGTTTGTGTGCTACTCAGGAATGCCCTGACATGCCTATATGGAAATTCCACTTCCGAGTTTTTCAATTTGGATCCCCCACTTTACAAGAATACTTTGCTTAATGCCCTATTTTTTCCTATCACAATAACAACAACAACAACAGCTTAACAGCAACAAAGCATTTTTTCTGTTGTTTGTCTATAACAGCTCCAACTGGACAGTCTATTTAGACTAAAAAATATTTCACTTTGATATGTGAAATGTATGAAATTGAAATATTAAAGATCCAACAAGTACTTGAAACATACAAGCCAGTTATACAGTTAAAATGTAATAATCCTTAACATTGAAAAAGGGTGAGACTAATACCAAGTACACAGGTTGAAATAAAGTTTCAGAAAGCCAAGGTCTTATCTGTTAATATTCAGAGCCTGTCTGGTAAACACAACCAATTAAAACACAACTTAGTGGGCAGAAAAGACTTGTTGTTCACTAGTTCTAGCCCATTTTGTTGGTAAGTTTATCAAGCACGGCCATGAAAGCCTGGGACTGTTGCATCATCATCATTTGGATGTTATTAGTTTGAACCTGTTGCTGCTGCTGTTGCTCCTGCATTAACTGCATCATGGATTTCTGCTGATCTAGAAATGAGGTTAGCTTTTTTTTTTCTTCCAGTTCCTGTTGTTTACGCTTGAGTGACAGCTCTTCCTCTTTGAGTACTTTGTCACTCTCACTTTTCTCTCGCAGATACTCAATTGTATCATTCCCACTTCTCCTCTTCTTCTTCTGACAATCCTGCTCTCCCTCTTCAACTGCCCTCTTCTGAGTTTCTCCCAACTTTTCCATAGCCAGTTTTCTCATACTTTCTGCCTTATGCTTGTCAGCCTCATCTTTTTCTTTCCTTCTCCCATCACCATCTTGATGTTCAGTTTCTGCAGCTTCTTCCATCTCAATTATCTCTGCTAGTGCTTGTTCAAGCTCTGTGGGTTCAGGGTTTATTCCACTGGCTTTTTCTTCATCTTTCATTTTCTTTTTGTATTTTTTTATCAAAACTGCAATGTGGTCACGCACTGATCGTTTTGTGACAGAAAAGTAGACATCTGATGTGCTGTTCAAGTTGGCACTGATTCTGTCCCACAGCCTTCCTCTTTCATTTGAATTTTTTTTGGCCGAGTATGGATTGACTGATAAAACTTCTCTACATAAAAGTAGATCATGATCTTTAGTCCACACTTGCACTCCTGGAAAGTTGAGACTGTGCAAAAAAAAAAAAAGGAGTGTATGTTGTAGGTTAAAATGAACCCCAGGTTAAAATGATTTCAACCTAGGTTGATTTGTATTTTCCTTTGTTTTAGATGTAAATTACCCACCTTAACAAAGAAAAATACAAATCAACCTAGGTTGAAATCATTTTAACCTGGATTCATTTTTACCTACAACATGTATTCACTGCCACTGAAAACCAGCTTGTTCAATACCAACCGTCACTTTTTAAAGAGAGTCTCAGGGTTGGTTGATGTGTAAATTTCTCTACATTTCCATAATTTTTTTTCACATCAATTGATCCAAGTTTATTTCTCTTTTCTGATCAAAACTATAAAGACTGTCTATGAAGCATGAAAGAAATCAATTTTTTCTCAGACAGCATGGTGGTCAATTTTAAAAGTAAACAAAGTTTTGAACAAATTATTCTGAGTATAATAAAATACAGCCAGTTAAACTTAAGGATAATCCATAGTCAGTGGAGGGCAGGTGAATTACAAATGAATGATAACAACAAGCAAAATGGTTAGAATGGAACTGAAGGCAAATTGGCAATTGAAGACTGTAAGTTATGCTGACACGGTTGAAAAACAGTAAGATAAAAACTTTCGGGGAAGCCATGCAAAAGCTTTCATAAAGTTTTGGTGACATAAAAGTTGCTTGATGCTCGTAAACCTTTTATTTTTTTTTGATGTCACTCAAACTTCACGTTTTTGAACTGTTTAGGTCGTGTTTGAGAATCGAACATAAATGAATTTCCCCCTGAATTAAACAAAATTCGCCTTCAGTCCCTGAAAACATTAAAATACACACAGTTGTCGATTCTGTCAAGTACGTTATCACTACCCTCAAACAAGTGTGAAAAAATATGAAAAACATGTGAAGGAAAATCCTTACTCTGACATCCCGGATACGCACGAGGCCATTGAACAGAGTGATTTGTTAGCGTTTTCTCACTTCTTTGCACCTGTGGAAAAAAGAGAGGCGTACCAAAAGTAAGAAGATATGTTCTGAATTACAAAAGTGACAAAAATCGGCAAATGAAAGTGCAATTTTATGAAAATTTCAGGTAAAGTCTACTCACGTTCCACTCACGACGCCAAAATCAAAACATGGCGTTCTGTTCAGAGATTGAACGCGGTCCCAGCCAAGAATGGTCATGCGCAATACTCGCAAGAGGCTCATCTTAACTTCCGGTCGCGTTCTACACGGAGGACGTCCTCAAATCTTAAGGTCCCTAATAAGCTGCTATCACATACGCTCAGATAACTCTGCAAACCACTTTTCTCCCTCCCACTTCTGTGCACCACTGCTTATTTCTTTCATGGCTTTGGCCACGCCCTTTGTTCCTGAAAAGTCATTAGCTCACTGGTTAGACTGACAAAATGTCAGTGTGGAAATTAGGGAGCCCCCACGTTTAACCCACAGAGAGAGAGTGGTTATTTATTTAGGTCATACACTTGGCTACTACAAAACTTCATCAATGACTATTGTGTGATTTGCATTCTAATGTAATACTGAAACGGTAATTTTATTTTTACTGTATTCTTCTGGAAGACGTTTGTAACAAGTAGATCTCAGTAAGCTTTGCATGTGAAAACTTTAAATTGTGATGGGAGGATTTCCTAGAAATTCTCCGTGGGGTTGTGCTGCCTAGTTCTCTGAACAAAAGATGGGTATCATTTCTAAATGGACGTTGTATGGTAACAGTAGAAATTCCACTATTATTATAAAAACAGGTTAGCCACTTAAAGTAGGAAACGATTAGCAATTCTTGGTCACCTCTTTGCTAATTCCTCTACCCCTCAACAGGGTTTTCATTTGTATAAAAAGTAGCAGGTAGAAATTGAAATGTACCTGACTCACTTGTGTGGCACAGAGCAGCGCCATGCGTCAAAGCTGCATGAGGGTGAGGGTATGGGGGGTATCCCCCTCCTGTTGGGGGGTCCGGGAGTCTCCCCCTTGAAAATTTTGAAAATTTGAACGTCAGAAGAGGCATTCAGGTGCATTTTTAAGGCTAAAAACCCAATGTGTAATAGGTTAAAATCAACATCATTATAATGATGTTTTCATCAAAAATTCCATTTATTTTTTTCTTAACTTCCTTCAATCATCGTTATGAAAACTAAATACTACAGTGTTGGTGAGGATTGTTTCACGAATATTACTTGACTCGACTGTTCTTAAAAGAAGAAATAAATTATACTTGTTTCTTAATCTATGTCAAAGAATTTTTTTAGGTTTAGTTACATTTATTAGTCACTATCACTGAAATCACTCTTCCCCATTGCACTGTGTCCATCACTTTCATCACAACCACAATCATATTGTGCTAGGCCTAGCTTCATGATAGCCTGTTCTTCTTGTTGTTCCACCTCCTCCTGACTGATCTCTTCTATGTCAACCACCAAGTGTGTCTGAGTGGACATATTCATGCACTCCACAGCTGGTTCTGAAGTCTTGCCAGCCTCTGACTGTGCAGTCATAGACTTTCCTTTTGACAACTTGTAATGTTTACTTGACAGCCATTTAGCATTGTTCTTTTTCATAAGACTGTCACATTCGGACGCACTTGTTTCTGGACCATTTGAAGAAGTGTTTATAAGACTCCCTCGCATCTTATTTGTCATTCTACTTCTGAGCCTTATTTTGATCAACTTCACTCGACTAGCAGCCCTTTCAGACCATGCATTGGTGATGGGAGAAGCGATGTGAAGGTAGACCTTTGAATCATCATTTAGCTCATGCACCACTCTGCTGGCATTATGGTCTTCCCTTCCTTAACATCAGCTGGAATGGTCTTCTCCTTCATGCGATACTTGAGAATGTTCCACTCTGCTAGTAGTCGGTCGTGTTACTCAGGACAGTAATGAGAAGCAAGTACTCGGATAGATTCAACTCCATAAGAGGAAAGCTCAGTAGCACTGGTAGGAATAAGAGTTGGATCAAAGATGGAGAGCGCTTCAAGCAAAGGGAGAGTATTATGGAACCTTAATTCAATGTTTTCTTTGAGTGCAGAAACATACTTTCAGAGCAGATTTCTAGTGGATGTCACTTGATTTTCTTTTGGTAATAAATGCGACATGGCCATCCTCCCTTGCTTTACATCAGGGGTGAATATGCTTTGATAGGTGCCTCCTCACTCATAACGACTTCCTCCAGTGCTGCCTTTGCCCAAGCAATTTCTAGTTTAAGTGACTGAAATTGATTGCTGATCGCTGAAATAACTTGGAAAGTTGATCGAGGATAGGTAGCACGTGTTGGAGAACATAAAAGGAGGCTAGGAAGCTGACATTGTTCATTTGAATAAAGAGGCCAATATAATTTTGCCTTTTATGTGTACGCAGTAATTAACAGGTTTTCTTGGTTCTCATCATCGTCTTTTGATATCAAAGAAAGAAAAACTGCTTGATTATATTTTTTGTAGTATCCTATGGTATGAAACAACATCTACAAGTATGATCTGGTCTTATGGTTTTCAAAAACTTGAATTTTTATGTAAGCTCCCAGAAACAAACTAATGCGTGAAATGACAAGGCCAGCGAAGCTAAATGAACACTAATTCTATACTAGTTAGCACTGACATACCTGTGGCTGCTGACTCCTTTCTTTGCTGTTTGAATCCAAACTTTGTTAAAAGTGGCTGTGATTTCTGTCTTTTCATTTTTACAGTCTTGCAAAGCGATAGATTGCGAACCTGTTTGTGAAATGTGTTGGTGTTTGAAGGTTTATTTCTTGCGTCAAACCAGCTTCTCCAGATAGAACTTTGAAAATTTATTGAGATCAACTTGTATTTTACAGAAGGTAAATTGATGTAACTGGCTATACATAGAAACATTTAGAGGTTGTTCAGTCTCGAATTATGCTGGTAATGTACCATTTTTAGCAAGACGTGGAATGTCTAGATAATTCGGAAATTCACGCCTTGAAATCTAATACTGTCAGTTTATGTTATGAAACATTGAGATCACACATTTATGTCAACAAGAAAAAGGCAGGATCCAATAGCTCGCTGTTTCCTTACAGTATCTGAAACGTGAAAATCGTTAACTTCGTTTGTTGGATAGTTGTAAAAGAGATAAAATCAACAACCAATATTTGCATCTTATTTTGTTTAAGCCATGATAGTGTTAGTGTCAGTGTTTTACTGTTTAAATTAATAATCTGAAATTTAGGCTCAAAAGTACCTGATGTGAACACGAAAAGTAGCCGGCATCTTGCATTGGGTGTTGGCAAGTTTTGAACACCTTGCCTTAAACATAGTGCGACAGTATATCACATGTACCAGGCGAAGAATGTAATTCTAACGGCCAAAAATACACAACACTATAATTTACCAACAGTTTTGATATTAAAACCTGACGTTGCAGCAATTGAACGTTCAATCTTCGTTTTTGAGGTGCTAGGCCACATCCTTTTACACCTGTAGGTATTTTGTTTGCTGTATTGAGCCACTCGGGTGCACAAATGGCAGCTGATCTACCACTTGCTAGTGTAGTTTTTTAATGAGCTTAAAACACCATAAAAAAACAGTTGGAAAATACGTGAAAATACACTTTGACATTTAGCCTGTTTAGAAAAATTGTGAACTTGTCCATTAGGAACAACACTGTTTCCTCTTTCTCTTCGTTGCTGACAGACAAATTGTAATATTTCACCTTTTTGTGTTGTGCTGAGGTCTGATTGCCAGATGGTGGTGTTGCATTTAAGGTATTTGCACGGGCAAATTTTCAACATTTTTTTTTGTCCTTAAAAGTTTACCACCATTGACGTTTAGTTACATAATATGCATATCTAGTTTTCTTTTTTAAAATTTTCTTCGCATAAAAGGAAAAAACGCCTTGAAAGTTGCTGGATTTACCGGAAGTGGAGAGAGAAATTGCCATTTCCGTTTCTACGGAAAGTGACCACGGGAGATTTCAGCAGAGTAATTTGACTCCTATCCGGCAATTTTTCCATTTGCGCCTGTTTCCTACAGCAAAGATGGCTGC